CTGACGGACTTTAGTACCTCATGTATCCTTGGCGCGCCTTTGAAAACGTCGTCCTTCACGCCGTTAATACCGCCACACCATGGCCAGAGGAAGCAGCGTTTCTGGTGCCCGCGCTCGAACAGCCTCTGCCCGAATGGGTCTACTATGTTGGACAACCTCGATTTATCTGTGACCCGTTCGCTAACCTCCCCAGTCGTAGGGTCCACACCCATTCATGTCAAACCATTGCAGGTCCCTTGCTGCTGAGCTGAAGGGACTTGGACCCGTTATACCATCCAGTGATTCCTCGACACTGCAATGCCAGTTCTTGTCTTCCGATATGCTGCACAAGATTTTTGACACTGTTCTGTGCAATACCGCTCTTCTCCGGTCGACGATGCTGGTAGAGCCCGATATGCCGCCAGATGCCATCTCGAAGACATCCCTCCTCGCTGGGCTCGTACGAAATATTGTGCTTCTCACTATGCCAGAGGTGCATCCGTTTCTTGATCTACGAATGCTGGGTCTTGCTTGCTCAGTCTCGTAGTTACGAGCCTCAATACGTACTTCCGAGGGATCCGAAAGTCCCACACAACCCCTTGGCGAAATTTACTCGTCACGTTGACAAAGCTTCTCTCATTGTCTGTACAAGGCCTGTCGAACTACCTGCAGGGCAAAGTGACCGTTCTAATTCTCCAGAGCCCACAGGTACGCCCTCTTCCTATAGCTCAATCTCAGCGCTAGTAACTCTCTGCCTCCTCATCATGATTCATCTAGGCTCTTCCTATGATTCTCGAGGTGAGGTGTCCTCCGGAACTGAAACCCCTCCGAGACAATGGGAGCCATGGGAGCTTGACTTTCCGGAACGGATGGCAAGGTATTTCCCGGTAGAAGAATCCGACGAATCCGAGGAAGATTCTACGGCAGAGCGAGAGGATCCGTTGCTTAATCGGCACCTACTCGCGGCCGCTACGCCGTCAGATAATGTCATATTGCTGTTCTTATGCATGCGCGAAGGGGATCGCGTTTTGGAGCTTCTAGTGAGTGCGCTGTACCAGCGCTTGGCTTGTGGTGTGAAGGCGCCGCTTGTTGGGCTCACATACCATTATGGCTCGCCCATGATACAGCTACTTGTGGCTTGGCTGGCGGACGAGAACACCTTGGATGGGCACTTGGTACGCGGCGCTCGGCCCACATTATCCGTTACTGACTGTTCCTCATTAGCCTCCGTTGCATGTCGCCTACGAAGCAGCGTCCGGGCCTGTGCAACCATCTAGCTTTTTCAACATGTGCAACCCTGCGGATGCTCTGCGTCTGGCATCCTTCCTGCTGTCTTTGAAGGAACATGCGAGCCATCTCCATGAACTCAGCACAAACGGATCGGGGACCGCACCAGGAGAGATCCTGGCTTGGCGTTCTGATTTCATCTCAGCAGAGGACAGCGATAACGATCTCAAGAACACGGACACGGCAATAAGTGCATGGACAGAAGGGGTTGCTGGGGGTTTTGAAATCTAGGCGGTACAGGAGCTTTGTCTGTAGAATTTTCCACGCTTCCCGATGCATTTCCTGTCCTATCTGCTGGCGCCCAAGTGATCACTCAGATTGGTGCAAGGTTTTGTTCCCAGCCAGGCGAGTGTATCTCAGGCAGATGCACTCGCCTGGCTGGGAACAAAACCTCGCAGTGTGATGCTCGATCCTGTTCGTCTCCTTGCTCCCATTGTGATGTTCGATCCGGGTGATCGTGTGTTTGTGAGTTCTCCTTTTCGCGATTTCTCTCCTGTTTGCGGTGGGCTCTACACCAATCATATGGAGGGTATGCACTATGCCATAGTGTGTCGACTTGTACAACTTAGCCGGCTGTTTATTGTGAGGATGGTCAGAGGCTACAACCAAAGCTGGGATACAAATTGATGTATTATTATATCATGGTTCAGTAGTCCCCCGGGCCCTCCGCCGACCGGTAGGAGCATACCCGTTAGGTTGGACGGGGTCAGCCTTCATAGAGACGACGAATTCATCACTTTCGCGCAGTGCGACTGGCTTGCTCACGCTCTCGGCTCAGCTTTAATAGGTAAAATAACAAGTAAAATGACGTTGTAAAATACATACGAGACCAATAAAGCGCGGAGTCAGCAGCCGTGGAGATACGCGGAACGTGAATGTCCATACGGAAGCAATGTCAGCCCTTGCTACCAACCCTTACAGGGAATGGATCGCTGCCAGTATACCGACCAGAGGCCATCAGTCATGCTGCTCTTCGATGGATGCCCACCTCAGGCATCGGCATCTATGCTCTCACAAGCTGAAATGTATACCATCATTGACAAGTGTACGAGATAACTTCTAGACAACGCACCCTTCCACTTGCCCATGATGTGATCACCAGATTGCCACGAGTTCAGAGGATCATCGAGTCTAAACCTGGGATCCTTGCACTCTTCATAAAGCATGAAAGAGAGGGTGCCGTATTTGCGAACACGGTCCAAAACTTCCTCCGAAATGTCTCGTACCAGATTCGTTTTGTTCCTGAACTTGTAGCCTGCGCGATCCACCCACGATCCGGTAGTACCAGCCCTGAGGATACGGCGATCCGCCGCCGTTTTACTGCTGTCAATCAG